TGATCTGAGTGAAAGGATCACACCCATGGGTGCTGTATAGGGTAAAATCAAAGTATAACAAATGGTCGAATGGTAACATGACACATGAAATCGGAGATAGGCAAAGGGCAAGTCACGGAATAATCAATTCCGAATACAACGCTTCAATCGATATCGGATAAATTCCGAAGGAGCGTAGCCGAGAGAAGAAGATCAAAAGTTTGTCATCGGATAACCTTCAATGAGGGAATATTTACTAACATTAAATGAGCGACCGTTGCAGAGAATATTTGTATTCATGCTCTGCCGTTACGCGTTCATCAATGTCTCTTTTATTATCATTTAAGAGAAGCTTGATCCTATGATCTTGTTTCTCTATGTAAAGCTATAAATAACAGTCTCAATAACCATTGTAAGGACACAAAATTTTTTGTATACAAAAGCTTTATTTTATTACTTTTTTTCTCAATTAAACAACTTTATTTACACTTTGTTGTTACTTTTACTATTGTCCTTGGAGGCATTGTATTCGCAACCAGGCTTGTCATCTTCCTCAATTTCAATTGTTAATCTTAATTTTAACCTTCTCTTTATTATTTTTGGATCAAATCAGTTCGCTTGTCTATAAGCCATGTAACAAATTTAACTGTACTGTTTTGCCGGTAAATAGTTTGGCGCCCATTTTGGGGCTTAGACAGTTACGTAATTGCTTTGATCCTTGCGTTTATTGCTAACTTGTTTTGATTATTTCCTTAGTGAAAACGATATGGCAGCTAATGATGTCAACATCATACACAACGTTGAGGGGCACGAGGAATTGTCCCAACATGATGATTCAATCAGTGAGACTCGTAACGAAGGGGATGAGACAAACCCGATTCGAGATGGCTAGTATCCTCGGCATGTGCGGGAACCGACTCCCGATGATGCAGAGGAGGAACAGATCATGGAAACAGTTAAAATCATGAGAGAACAACAGAAATCAATCATGCAACACCTCTCAAGGCGGGATCAAGTGATGACGGAGTTAAAACAAGCTTTGTCAGGCGCCTCCAATGACGCGAATAAAAGGGGCTCAGTTCCTCCCAGTGTTCACGCAAACCAAACAACTCAGAGGGTCGATAACAACATCTTAAGGGGTGAAGTCGGTTTCGATGAAGCCAGAGGGACTGGTAGTGGATATGGAAATAACAACGGGAATAATTTCTTCAAAACCGAGCTTATGATTTTTATGAGAGAAATAAATGAACAAATGGATCAAAATGCGAAGGAGTTTCATGCTCGAATGGATCAGATTTCGGGCGCACCACCAGTTCTAAAAGGCCCAGATTCGAAAAAATTCACACAATTGGCATTTAAACCGAGCGCAACACCAAATTTAATTCCAAATAGGTTCAAGATGCTGGACATACCAAAATACGATGGCACTTCGAATCCACAGGAGCACATCACAACCTTTACCACGGCTATGAAAGGGAATGATTTGGCTCAACATGAGATCAAATCAATCTTGCTGAAACCCTCACAAAGGAGGCTCTGACATGGTATTCTCTCTTACTCGAGCATTCAATTGACTCTTTTAAGATGCTTATAGATTCATTCATTACGACCTATACCGGGGCAAGGAAGGTTCAAGCTAGAAAGGCAAATATATCCAGGATTGCGCAGGGCGAGTCCGAACTGCTACGAGAATTCGTGATCCGGTTCCAGAAAGAGAGGATTCTGCTATCGGCCGTACCGGATGAGTGGGAAGTAGAGGCATTCATAAAGAGTCTAAATCTGCGGAGCTCCGATACCTCCCGAAAGCTGAAGGAAAGCTTGCTCGAGTTTTAAGCAAACATATGGGCGGATGTCCATAACCGTTATGAGTCAAAAATAAGGATAGAAGACGATCAGCTCAGGTTCCCAGTATCAACAAAGGGACGTGATCGAGACAAAAATTGGGACAAGTTTAAAAGCGACTTTGATGTCGATCGGCGGTCCTCTAAAGGTCATTTTCTATCGTATGAAAGAACCGAAGGTCGTAGCAGCAAAGGGTTTCGGTCATCAGATAAGTTTGCCCCCGATAGAAGAATCGATTATGGCCGGAGCAACAAATCATTATAGGAGAATGAGGTATCAGGGGACCGAGCCTCCACATACCCCAGGTTATCATATTACAACTTTAACATTAGCTTAGTAGAGTTGGTGTCGGCAATGAAGAAAATCAAAGAAGCACGGTTCCCGAAGCCAATCCGGTCAGATCCTAGCCAGAGGGATCCCAGTTTATGGTGTGAATACCATGGGACTCACGGCCATAGAACTGGGGATTGCCGACACCTTCGAGAGGAAGTGGCGACATTGTTGAAGAATGGCCATCTCAGGGAGTTTTTAAGTGATCGCTCCAAGAGCAACTATGACTGAAGCCGGGACAATACAGAGCCCTCGAAGGTGGTAGAAGGATCCCTTCGGTTGACTATCAACATGATTTTTGGTGGAAACGAGGTCAACGGTGTAACCTTCTCAGCAACAAAGAAAACAAAGATATCGGTGACTCACAACAAGAAACTCTGGGAAGTCGCGGAAGATGATATCACCTTCACGGAGGAAGACGCTAACGGACTTCTCCTGCCGCACAATGACGCTTTGGTAATTTCTCTCAATGTTTTAGATTTCAAAATTAAATATGCTTTGGTTGACCCTGGAAGCTCAGTTAACATAATCCAATGGAGAGTGCTAGAGAAAGCAAAGTTGACCAGAATCTTAGCTGGATTCAACTTGACAAGTGTGACAACCTAAGGAGAGATTTTATTGCCCACAAACAGCAAAGGATTGATCAAAACCACTCTATTCGAAGTGGTGTATGGCGATATGGATTACAATGTAATCCTCGGAAGGCCATGGATACACGAGATGAAGGTTGTGCCCTTAACATATCACTAGTTGTTGAAATTCCCAATGCTGGAAGGAGTTAAGAAAATAAGGCGGAGACCAACCGACGGCAAGGGAAATGAATGCATAAACTATTTCCAGCAGCAAGGGAAAAGAGTTCAATAAATAGCAATTACATATGCCTTCTTCCTTTCTAAATGAAGACGATAAGAGCGAGGAGTCATCGAAATTTCAGGTTCCAAGATATTTCTAGGTACCGGAAGAGACGGATGCAACCAAGTCGACCGCATATAAACTCGAGCAAGTGGCCTTATTCGAGGAGTTTCTAGAGAGGAAGTTTCACCTGGGGACATGATAAAATCCCGAGCTCAGATTAGGGTTTATAAATTTTCTTAAAGCTAACATTGACTGTTTTGCATGGTCGCACTCGGATATGACAGGTATACCATTGGAGGTGGCGGTCCACAAGCTAAGTTTGGATCCAAACTTCCCACCGGTAAGGAGAAAGAAACGCCAGATAGCTGAGGTCAGGAACATGTTATTAAAGAAGAGGTAACCCGATTACTCAACATTAGTTCAATCCGGGAGGTAAAATATCTAGAATGGTTAGCCAACGTAGTTGTAGTTCCAAAAAAGAATAACAAGTTTAAAATATGTATAGGCTATAAGGATTTAAATAAGGCATGCCCTAAAGATTCGTTTCCATTGCCAAACATCGATCAAATGATTGATGCTATAGCCGAACACGAGTTAATGGGTTTCCTTGATGCTTATTCCGGGTACAATCAAATCAAGATGAACCCGGAGGATCAGGAAACAGCTTCTTTCATAACAAACTTTGGCACATATTGCTATAATGTGATGCCATTTGGGCTTAAGAATGCTAGAGCCACTTATTAGAGGCTCATTAACAAAATGTTTGAAAAGAAGATAGGAAAAATAATGGAAGTGTACATTGATGACATGTTAGTCAAGTCTTTGAATGCAGGAGATCATTTGAAGCACCTCAAAGAGACTTTCGACATCCTGAGGAGGCATAACATGAAACTCAACTCAGAAAAATACGCGTTCGGTGCTGGTTCCAATAAATTCTTGGTGTTCCTGGTCTCACAAAGAGGTATCGAGATAAATTTCGATAAAATCAAAGCTATCTAGGACATTCTAGACCAACTGACAAGTGTGAAGGAAGTACACAGGCTAACCGGGAGATTTGCGGCTCTAAACAGATTCTAATCGAGATCCTCTGAAAAGTGCCATCACTTCTTTTAACTTTTAAAAAAGAAGAATAATTTCGAATGGACTCCGGAATGCCAACATGCCTTGAAAGACCTAAAAAGTTACTTACCAAGCCCCCCGTTACTGTCAAAACCGGGGGAAGGCGAGCAGTTGTTAATATACCTAGCCGTCTCAGATGTAGCGGTAAGTACCGTTTTAGTCCGAGAGGAAGAAGGTACACAATTTTTCATTTATTATATTAGTAAAATACTGTCGGGAGCAGAGACCCGCTATCTGCACCTCGAAAAGTTGGCCTTAGCTCTTGTAGTCGCCTCTCAAAAGCTTAAGCCTTATTTTCAGTGCCACCCAATAGCCGTCGTGACAACCTTTCCCTTAAAAAATATCCTTCACAAGCCTGAGTTGTCAGGCCGTTTGGCTAAATGGGCGGTCAAAATCAGTGAGTTCGACATTGAGTACAAACACTGGACTGCGATGAAGTCACAAGTTTTGGTCAACTTTGTGGCCGATTCCAGTCCGGAATTAATACCCTTGGATGCTAGGGAGGTAGTGCTGGTGTCAGAAATGACATCGGGGGTTTGGACTTGTGTATGGATATAACTTTGAATGTAAAAGGATCCGCTCTTGGGATAGTTCTAGTCACGCCCTCGTGGGAAACCCTGAGGCAGGCCATTAAAACTGTTCCATTAACTAATATTGAAGTCGAGTATGAGGCTTAGGTTGCAGGACTTGAATTGGCCCGGGGACCTAACTTTGAGGTCATCGAGATAAAGTGCGATTCCCAGCTAGTAGTAAACCAAGTGTACGGGATTTTTAACACAAAGGAAGAGCGCATGCAATAGTATGTGAACAAGGTTCAAGCATTGCTTGCACGGTTCAGAGAATGGTCGATCATACACATTCCAAGGGAAGAAAATATGGAAGCAAATGCATTGGCTAATTTGGGGTCATCTACAGAGATGAAAGGATCTGACTCCAGTACTGTCGTTCAACTTCTACATTCGGTATTTGATGTGGATCATTACTGCGAAGTCAATTCAACCAACCTAGTCTGGGACTGGAGGAATGAGTTTGTCGAATACCTTCGGTATGGAAAAATTATCCGAAAACTCGAAGGCATCCCGGGCACTACAAACCAAAGCAGCTCGTTACTGCCTCGTGGATGGGCAGTTATACAGAAGGTCATACCAAGGACAGTTGGCCCGGTGTCTGGGGGCCTCGGAGGCGGACTATGTAATAAGGGAAGTCCATGAAGAAATTAGTGGGAATCACTCTGGTGCAGATTCATTAGTTCTAAATTTGATTATGGCAGCTTACTATTGGCCTCAAATGGAACATGATGCAAAGAAGTTCGTTCAGAAGTGCGATAAATGCCAACGCCATTCTCAGTTGGTGCATCAACCAACATAACTCTTGCATTCAGTGTTGTCCCCATGGCCATTAATGAAATGGGGAATGGACATAGCTGGTCTCTGCCACCGGGCCACTAAAAGGTAAGATTGCTTTTAGTTTTAACTGACTACTTCACTAAATGGATTGAAGCAGGTTCTTACCAATAGATCGGTGAGTGCAAAGTGGTCGACTTCATATGGTACCATATAATCTGCCGATTTAGAATACCGAAGGAAATTGCCTGTGACAACGGGCCGCAGTTCATAGGTTCAAAAGTTACAAATTTTTTGGAAGATTTAAAAATCAAGAGGATTACATCTTCACCGTACCATCCAAGAGCTAACGGACAAGCGACATCAACAAATAAGGTGATTATCCAGAACCTCAAAAAGAAGCTAGAAGATGATAAAGGCAAATGGCCCGAAGAGCTACCGGGTGTGCTATGGGCTTACCGAACAATTGCGAAATCGAGCACGGGAGAAACACCTTTCTCTCTCGTGTATGGAGCAAAAGCTCTGATATCGATGGAAGTAGGGGAACCAACTCTAAGGTTTTCTCAAACAAACGAAGAAACAAACAATGAAGAGTTTCTAGTGAGGCGAGACTTGCTAGACGAACATAGGGACTTGGCGTATGTGATGATGGTGGCTCAAAATCAAAGGATGGAAATATATTATAGTCGCAGGGCTAATATCCGCTACTTCAAAGTAGGAGACTTGATTTTGAGAAAGGTGATTCTGAACACTCAGGAAGTAAATGCGGGAAGCTGGGACCAACATGGGAAGGTCCTTATCGGGTTTCAGCTATCACCGAAAAAGTGTCGTACGAGTTGAAAAATCAAGATGAACTCAAATTGCCTAGAAACTGGAATGTGATTCACCTCAAATGGTATTATTGCTGATGGATGCTACTAATACTGAAAGTATGTGCTGCACTCTTTTTCCTTTTATCTAGTTTTTGTCCCAATCAGATTTTCTTGAAAAGGTTTTTAACGAGGCAGCAACGAAAAGTATAGTACGAAGGGAGCGTCATCGAAAAAAGGAAAGACCTTTAGAAATCAAGGCACTAAAGTTTTCACATCGATGGAAAATAACTATATGGATGGTTAAATAATCTTTGGTTCACTGGCAAGCTTTGTCTTCCATCACTAAAAATAATTATTTTACCATTCATAAGTTGTTATTACCGGTGAAACAGGACTTCCAGTGTTCGAATTCGCATGCTTTGCATTCGAACACTGGGGGGAATAATATCTAATACAGCACCAGGAGTACCACAAAAATTGGGACTGCGAGAACCGGGATCAATATTTCATCAGGACCAGAGACTATATGATCAGCCCCGTAGAAATAAGTTGTACAAGTTAGCCACATGTATTGGCAGTTTTTACTTTAGCAAATGAATTCTTATGTACTTTTAAGGATATAAGAAATAAAAAAAAGTCCTTTTATTTTTATCTTATTTCTTGTCCAAATGATTAGTTAATTTTATCGTTTGAAAGTTAACTAAAACTTCATATGCTTGTGCCCGAATGAACAGAAAACGTCCTCTTCAAGAGTACCGTAAACATAAGGGCACTCTCTTATGAAACCCTCATAGTAAAATATTGATTTCGGAAGAATTTATACCCGGAATCAAAGGTTGTCAGATGAAAATATACCCGAAACTTTAATTAATTAAATTCAAAAGGAATATATTTTGTACAACACTTAAGCAAAAATTCTTTATTTATTTATTTATCAAGTGCCAAACTCGGTAAAAGATTTGGTGCAATTACAAAGTACAAAAAAAAGGAAAAAAGAGAAAAAGAAAATGTGCGTCATTGCCACCGGAACCTGAAGGGAGCGAGGGATCTACGTTTCCCCCGGTAGAAGAAGGCGGGACCACTACCGGTTTGGGGCCTTCATCTTTATTTTTTACAAACTCCCCTTCGGTTCCCGAGTACACGAAACCAGTACTCAAAGAGTCAGATGCAGTGGGCCGAGTGGGAAGATTTTCACGAGCAGTTAGCTCTAGTTCTCGGGCCTTGACGATGTAATCATCAATATCAACGATGCCCGCTTTTACCTCTTCCAAGGTTTTCCTCCTCATATGATATATAGCATAAGTCTTCTCAAATACAAAGGAATCCTCTTAGTCCTGGAGCTTTGCTTGGAGCCTGAAGACCGTCCCTTTCAGATCTCAAGGCACTGAGGCGAGAATCAAGCTCAACATTTGTAGTTGAGTGATTCCAGTTCTAATCCATGGCCCTCTTGAGCCTCTCCTCCATTTTAGCCCTCTTCTCCTCGGCAGCATGGGCCTTTTCAGTTTTGGAGCATAAGTCTGCCTTCAAATTATTGATTTGCTCCTCGAAGACAGACTTGTGCTCGGTAGCAGCACGCACGACGTTATGGAGCTCGACCCACTTAGCCTTAGCCTCTTGAAGTTGTTCATGTAATTGAGCAGCTTCTTGGCTATGTGCCATCTTATCTTACTTGCTTTGCTGCAACCAGGCCTCAAGCTCACCCATCTCACGAGCTTTTTCTTCTAACACCGAGAAGCTTGCAACAAGTTAGTTATTTTCGACCAAAAGTTGATTCCGCTCGAAAGCGATCCCTATCTTATCAAGGATAAACCTTTGCAGGGAATTAGGAGCAAGAAATTTGGCCTATAAAAAAGAAAATTAAAGTTAGAACTTCCATTGCATCATATAAGTAGAAGAGAAGGTATGAGAAAACTAGTATGATACCTGCGCTGCGCTATGCATCCCTTCTTGACATATGCCTTCATATGGTAATTTCTTGATAACCTTTCATGCTAATACTTCAGGATTTCCAAAAGGTCATCTGTTTTCCTGGCTGTCGTGGTTTTACTCGATCCGAAGGTAGCCTAGCAACAACTATAAGAGGTCCTTGATCGAAAAAGATCTAGTGATGCAGCTTTTGCTTCCGGCAAAGGTGCATCATCAACTAGTTCCCAACCCAAGGGGAAGAAACCAAAAAGAATTTATTCTTCTATGCATCATCAACTAGTCCCCAACCCGAGGGGAAGAAACCAAAAAGAATTCATTCTTCTAAGTCTCAGGCTAAAGAGAAGCCCCCGACCACATAGGAGATTCTGGAGCGACCGAACAATGTTGTCCTTGATAAAGAAGAAATCGAGGACAACACCGAAATGGTTTCTCTTCAAAGAGGAGAAGAAAAACACCAACAATTCAATCGGAGGACGTAGAGAGACTCTTTCGAGAGTATGAATTGGCTGAAATGGCCGATTCCCATTTCCGGGTTCTTGTTGTTCCTACTAGTCAGAAAGATTCTGCTTTAGATGCTACCCCAACGTCTGCTCCACCAGCTCGTCTCTATTGAACAAAAGGAAGGTGTACATTTCCCCCGATCTCCCGATCAAGGGAACACAGAAAATGCCTTTCCAGCTTCTATCTGGAACCCTAACAGTAAACACAATGTTACATTTACAGTTTCGGATGAATACCACTTACTCTCCAAACCAGTTGGGGTAGCCAATTACTTGAACCATCTGACTTCAGATAAGTATTGGAGAAAAATAGATGCTCTTTCTACCAAATATTTAATCAATAATAACATACATCTTTCTGCTCAAGTGCCATTCATTTTCCTTTCTTCTCCTTTTCACGTTTTTTTTCACCAAAGCTGATAATTTTAAAATTAACCTTAAAGTCTAACCTTCTTGCCTCCGAGGGCTTGTAAAGGATGATAATTTGACAATGAAGTACTTCAACATGAGCGGAATCAACTTGCCGAATGCCTTCCAATCCTAGAGGCCAAACTTGCTCAAATGGACGAACTTGAGGCCTGACTGGAGTAAACAGAGCAAGAAAAAATGGCTCATAGTTAAGAAGCCACTCATCTACATGCCGATCTTGCTCAGTTAAAGATTAAGTGGGCAGAGTTACAGGATGATGTTAATTCGACGAATCCATGGAAATAATCAGCAACTTGGGAGCTATCTTACATTTCTAGATAGAGGAAATTACTGCGGTCGAAGAGAATAGGGCTAAAATGGAGGAAAGGCTCCGAAAGATCATGGAACAAAATTGGGAACACACCAAAACCAACACTGACCTGTCCGCGACCTATAATATTTTAAAGGTTGACAACGAGCGATTACAGTCGAAGATCCAAAAACTCCAAGCCAGATTTCGAGCTCAAGAGGATTCTTTCTTTCTTGAGAAAACTCATACCGTTTAATGTATGTGAATGAAGACTCTGGAAGATGCCAAAAATGGCATTGAAAATACAGATGACTCTATTGCCGAAGCTCTTTCTTTAGAGACACCTCCTCCGAAAACATTCCTGCCCGGCCCACTGCTTCAAGCTCTTCGGACACTTGCTCCGAGTCCTCCAAATTTGAAGAGGAGGACGAAGACGAAGACGAAGGAGAAGAAATTGAGCCCAAAAATGAACAACCTTCAAGCCCAAAAGATGCAGAAGAAGCTTCTCAACCCTCAACCTCCTCTAATAAAGAAGATTAAAAGTTTTTACAAAGTTATTTTTCTAACAACTCTTGTAACTATAATTTTTGCAACTATTCCGGCCTCGCTTTTGGACCTCCAAAATTGAAATGAAAGATATATTTCTTACTTAACTTCTCAGGGGTTTTAGTTAGCAAAAGTTATCTATGCTTTTCTAGTGATAAAGTTTGGGAATTTTTATATTCGGTTAACTTTAGTACCCGGTATTTATGCTTCCGGTTTTTAACTTCAACTAGAAAGGTTTCATAGAAAAGGGACCTTATGTTTACAGTGCTCTTGAAAAGGATGTCTTCTGTTCATTCCGGCACGTGCATTTGAAGTTTAAGCAACATTCAAATAAAGGAAATACCATGTCTATTGGACACGAAATATAAAAATAAAAGGACTTTCATTTGTTCCTTCTATTTTCTAAAGTACATTTATATAAGTAGGAAAAGTTGTACATTTTCTAAATAAATGAACTACCAAATCCATGTGACTAATTTGTACTTCTTATAACTACGGGGCTGGACATACAGTCACCGGTCTTGACTTGAGGTGATTCATAACAACTGAACTTTTAAGTTCAAAACATGTTCCTTGGTTTCAGCAACCCCCAATATTACTGTATTTCCAAATACTTTACTTGCCTTTTGAAGCTAGCACTGACACTTTTAGTGTTTTGGTAGGAGTAGCTCCTCTCCCCTGTATTCGAATGCAAAGTATGAGAATTTGAACACTGGATTTTCTGTTGCTATTAGCAATCACATTCGTAGTACGCTTTACGTTGCTGCCTCATTAAAAATCCTACTAGTAAAAACCTATTTGGGACAAAAATTGGATGAAGAAAAAAAGAGTGCAGCGCGTACTTTCAGTATAATCAGCGATCTTTAACAATAGTACCTTTTGAGATGAGTCATGTTCCAGTTGCTTGGTAATTTAACTCCATCTTGATTTTTCAGTTGATATGAATATTTACCGTTTATAGCAGAAATCCGGTAAGGTCCTTCCTATATTTGTCCCAACTTTCTGGCGTTGACTTTTCGGGTATTTTGAGTCATTTTTCATAAGACCAAGTCTCCGACATTAAAATAACAAAGATTTTTCTAACAATTATAATACCTTTCCATTCTCTGCTTATGTGCCACTATTCTTACATAAGCCAAATCTCGGTGTTCCTCAAGTAAATCCAGTTTAATCAACATTGCTTCATCCTTTTCCTACTCGTTTGCCCGGGATAACCTTATAGTTGGTTCACCTATCTCCACCGAAATCAGAGCTTTTGCACCATATACAAGGGAAAATGGTGTTTCTCTGGTGCTTGATTTTGGTGTGGTTCGATACGCGCATAGTACTCATGGTAAC